ACCTGATTTGAAATAAATAATCATATCCAGAGTTCCTTGAATATACCTCATAAACCATTTAACTACTTTTCTATCATCTAATCCTAAATTAAAGATAAATATGCTTATAACACTTATAGATAAAAAAATATTTGGCCTATAACAAACAATATCATACATAAGAGGCCCAATGACACTAAAATAAGGAATTTTCTGCATCTATTCTTTTTGTTAATCTGAATTGGTATCTGAGTTACATAGTTTAAAGTGACTCCCAAGAGGCAATTTAATTGCTTTAGAATTTTTCATTGAAAATCTTTTAAGAACTTTTCTAAGATAAACACAACTGAAATTTTTGCAATCTCTTAAAATTTTCATTCAGAGAATTTTTTTAGCTTCACCTATGTCCTTCATATCAAATTCAGATTTAAGAATATGTTTAAGCTTTTGAATTTCTAAACTATTCTTATAATCCAACAATATATCATCCACAAAGATCAATAAATAAATCAGATTTCCATCCGGCAAAGTATTAAAATAAAACATCTATCATAATTACTTCTTTGGAAATATATATTCTTCGTGACTATATCAGACTGTTTGTACCATTGCCTTGGAGATTGCTTTAATCCATAAAGAAATTATTTTAGAAGACAAACTTTATTTTCCTTATCCTTTTAAACAAAACTCTATAGTTGAGCCATCAATATAGCCTCTTCTAATTCACCATGCAAGAAAGTTGCTTTAGCTATTATAATTCCCAATCGAAGAAAGCCACTAACCATATCAACATCTAAATTGTGTATGCATAGCAACAAAAGGAAAAAAAAATCTTAGTATAGTTAATACTTTTCTTTTGAGTGTATCCCATAACAACCAATCTAGCCCTGTATCTATTTGGTTCATTCTCATTATTTTCTTCTTTGATTTTATAGACCCATTTGCATGAGACAACCTTTAATTCTCTTTATTAATTTTCCTTCTTTCCCTATCACATAGATGTGAATAATCACTGCTATTTTTATTTGTGTTTTCTCCTTTTGATTTTGGAACAATAGATTGTTATGGATTTTCAGAATTATAAGTGTATGTAAGTGGTTCCATCTCAAACTCATAATAGTCCTTAATGGAATCTATATTTTCAATTGAAAAAACTAATTTATTTTTATTTTCTGACTCAGAAATATATAATCTCTTCTTATTGATAATAATATCTCTATTAACCATAATCTTAACACTGGGAAAGCTCAGATATCACAATCTATAATCTTTGACACCTGAAGGATAACCTAGAAACTCACATTTAACTGATCTAAGTTCTAAATTTCCTTTCTTTTGATGAAAGTAGGAAATACAATAAAAATTCTTAAATGTGTCAAACCAAGTTATTTTTCAGTCCATAATTCCTAAGGAGTTATAAAATCAATAACACTAGAAGGTGTTTTGTTTGCTAAATAATATGTAGTAGAAAGAGTTTCACCCCAAAATAATTTAAACAAAGCATAACTGTAAAGCAATCATCTAACCTCATCCAACAGAGTTATATCATTCTCTTAGCTAGACCATTTTGCTGATGAGTATAACTAACAATATTATGTCTAACAAAGCTAGAATCATAACAAAACTTGCTAAAATTTTTATTGCTAAATTCTAACCCATTATTAGTTCTTAAAATTTTGAGTTTTCTAATCTAATTTTGATTCTCAACCAATGATTTCCATTTTAGAAATTTTGAAAAAAAAAATTATCTTTTAATTTTAATAAGAAAATCTAAACCTTTTTTGAATAATCATCAATAAGAGACAAGAAATATTGATTTCCAACATGTGCAGATAATCTAGATGGGCTCACAAATATAAGTTAATATAATTCAAATGCTCTCTCTTCTCTATATACTAACAATTTGAATCTAAGCCTATGCGATTTAACAATCTTATAAGACTAATAGAAAATAATCATTTCTATTAAACCACTGCCATACAAACCCTATTTTTGTAATTTAATCAAACCTATGTCACTTAACTGTCATAATATATGATGCCACAATTTAGCTAACATATGAGTTTCACTTACCATAGTAGCACCCTATAACATATAAAACCCATTCTATCTTAAACCTTCCATAATCATAAGTGTTCTTTTTTAAATTCTTAGCAAGTCTCTCTTAGATCTTAAAATAGAACCAAAGTCTTCTAATATCCCAAGAGAGAGAAAATTTATCTTTAAATCTAGAACCTATCTCACATCTTTAAGAATTCTAACCTAACCATCATGCATCTTGATTACAATAAATCCAATACCACCAACATCACAAGCTTCGTTATTTCCAAGTATGACCTTCCCCCATTTAGACTTTGATAATTAGAGAACCACTCACTTATAGGACTCATAAGATAAGTGCACCTTGAATCAAGAATTCATTCCCTAGAATTCTTATAATTACTAACATTAGGAACATCAACACAATCACAATTTTCTCCAACAATTCTTGCATTCCCTTGAGATTGAGATTTATCATTTGAAACTTTTTTAGGACAAAATTTTCTAATGTGGCATTTTTATTGCACTGCCAACACTTGACACTTTTTATAGCCTTTCTTAGAAGCTGGCTTTCTTCTACTTTTATACTTTCAGTTCTTGAAACTGTTCCTTCTTCTCTATGATCTATCCCAATCATGTAATCTTTCTCTATAATGATTTTTTTTCACCATGTCCAAAATCTTAGAGGAAAGAGCATTGTGGACTTCATATATTTTTATAGTTTCTCTCTCATATTTCAAGGTTTCCTTGAAATTCTTTAAATATTTTTGCAAATAATTTTAAAAAATAATATCATTATCTTCTTCATCTATCTTAAAATCAAGGTTTTAAAGATCTAGGATGAGCTTATTGAATTCATTTAAATTATTGTAAATGGGTTTTGCCTCATCCATTTTATAGCCATAAATTTTTCTTTGAAATAAATCCTATTAAGACAAGTTTTTTTATTATAAAATTATTTCAGTTTTCTCCATAATTCAGGTACAATTTTTAGATGAGATACATTTCTCAAATCTAATCTGCTAAGCACAAGATGATTAAACTAAAGGCCTTTTATGTATATTAGCCTTTTCTTAATCAAACATTAACACAAGTTACAAAGTCTTTTCACCCCTTATTGAATTAATATTGCTTCAAATTTTATATTTGACAAATTTAATTATTCTTTCCATCGAATTTCTGTATATCAAAATTTTTAACATGCATTCTACAAATAATCTTTAAAATAAAATGCTCTGATACCAAACTATTGTGCTTGGAAGAGATGAATCAACCACCCAACCTAATATGTATAAATACCTCGATCGTAGTTTTAAGAATAATTTCAAATCACACTCTTATAAAATTAAAAAATCTAAAGCAAAACTGTTAGCAAATGTTTACTTATTTTTCATGAACATGAAAGAACAAATTTCATATAACATATACAAAGAAAATTAAAAAATAAGAACACAAAAAATTTATGTGGTACTAGTTCTTATGAGTCTACATAAACGAGGCAACCTTGTTCATCATCCTTTTATTTAAGTATATGAAGAAAGAGAGATACAAGACATTGTATATCTAAAATAACTCTTCTAGCTTTCCAAAACAATAACAATAGAAGCCCTGGCGAAATTGGAAGCATAAATTTCTATGATAGTAAATATCTACTCCACCATTAGGATCTAAATAGATTTTTAACAAGAAAAATAACAAGATAATATATCCTAAAGAAGGAGAATTGCAGAAAAAAAAAGAGAACATGAACAATTAACCCAAATTGACAACAACTACAACAATACAACAATCTTCTTAATCTAAATAGGAGAGATATACCTGCACATCCAGCATATAGAGAAACTTGCGTAATAAAAAACACGCTGCGAACAGACAATCTCTTATGATTGTCTTTCCTGAGAAAAGAACAAGCTAGAGAAGAACGCACATAGACATTCAACACCTCTCTTCACACACATAAAAATTCAAGGATTTCAACATCTCTCTTCCTCTCTCTCGCACAAGAAGCCAAACACCGACCCAAGCCCTAGCTCTCTCGGAAGAAACCCTCTCTCTCACACTCGAACCACAAAAACACACGCATAACTCCCTCCTTTTCTTTTTACCCGTTTTGCCTTGGTGGTTAAGTAGTTAAATAGAGAACAAACCCAATTATATATATTAAGCAAGAAACAAGATATAAGATAAGCATGATTTTTTGAAATTAAAAAATTAGAAATAAATCATTAAAGAAATAATTTAACTAAAATTAATTAATTCCATAATTAATTTCAGTTGAAAACCTATTTTAATTTTAAATCACTTATATCAAATAGATCTAATAAAATCACTTGTTATTTTAAGTATTATTTATGATAAAATTCTTATAAGAGCAATTTCATGCAAACACTCATGAAGTTTCAGACTATAAGGTTTTTCTATATTGATGGATTCTCATTCTCTATAAGTATCATAATAATTAAAAGAAAAAATTAGAAAAAAAAAAAGGATGAGATTGCCAAAACCAGAACCAAAATAATTAAAAAATAATTAATACCACTAAAATTTTCTTTTATATTTTACTGGAAATGTTAATTAGTTTGATTGAATTTAAATTTATAATAAAAATACATATATCTCAATAATATAATAAAAACTGTAATTTTTTAATTAAATCCTAAACGAGCTGGTCATGAACATAAAAATATATGAATTTATTAAGTTATTTTTTAAAATGATATTAATCATGTAAATAAAATAAAATGAATTATATGATCATAAATTCTGTTAATTGCATGTAGTCCTGTTATTTGGAAAGGAGGGGACGTCATCTTCCTTCTCCCACCCCAAAACAGAACCAGAAAACAAAACTCTACGTTCTAAGCTGTCCACGTGGCACCAACCCACTGGAAGTTAGCTACAGGAGGAGAAAGAGGAAGAAATAGCCAATGCAGATGGGCAGAGACTTGAATGCGGAGTAAATGAGCCCACGGGCCTCCTTTTTATATCGATAGCTCAATTAGAAACAAAGAAACCATCCAATTCCAAGTCTACGGCTCTTTCCTTCTCTTTATTCGGTGCTCTGTTCCCTGTTCCATCTTCGCATCTATCGTCTACACGTCCGGCAGGCTTTTTACTTCCGATGAACTCTTCTCCTTCATGTGCGTTCTCTTGATGGAGTTAACAGGGGAGGAAGGAGAGAAAAAAGACTGAAACTTCATGTTCCTTTCTACTACCTCTTGCTTTCTTTATCTTCATAGATAGTTTGATTGAGTGAGAACGAGAGTGAAAGACGGAGTATTTGGAGGTTGTGGGTGAGGAGATGCGGAGGAGAAGTCGATGGCCAGTGGGAGAAGGGAGTTGAATCCTTTTATCTTGAAAGCTGGCTTCACCCTGCTCTTATCACTCGCCGGCTTCTTTGCCGCTCGCCACCGCCGCCGGGCCCTCTCTTCTCCGCCTCCTCCTCCTCTTCCTCCTCTCCATCTTTCAGGTCTTCTCTCTCCCTTCTGTATTATTTATTTGATTTCATGGATATTCAGTTACTGATATTTTCTGGTTCGTTTCAATTCGGATTTCAGATTTGGAGCCGGAGCCCGGTTCATCTGCTGCTGTTCTCGATGAAGAACTCCCAATACATCAAACTGTAAGAATTATTTTTAATTTCAATAAAAAAAAGGTTTCGTTTATTAGATTTCAATGTATTATGACTATTGATTTCAACAAGGAGGAAGCTTTGGCAAAGATGACGCCTCCTGCTCCTGTGACTGTGGAGGGCGACCAGTTTATTATCTCTGAGAGTTTAGAGGAGGAAGAAGAGTTCCCCGGGCTTCTTCTGCCAGAGTTAGATGAGCTTGTTCGAAAGGAGCCGGAAACAGTGCTGGAAACCATCCCAGCTGCTCCTTTGACTGATGATTTTGAGATCAACGATTCGGCAGTCATGGAGGAAGAGATTAGAAATCTAAGGAGATTTGTTCAGTCCCTTCAGGAGAGGGAGGCTTGTTTAGAAATTAAGCTTCTTGAGTATAATGGATTAAAAGAACAGGAGGTATCGATGGGAGAACTACAGAACAGACTGAAGATAAGTGCCACAGAGACAAAGCTTCTGTCTCTTAAGATTGAATCTTTGAAGGTTGAGAACGAGAAACTTAGAGCTGAGGCTTTAGATTATTCAAGAGTTGCTTCTGAACTTGAGATCCAGAGAAATAATATGGCAGTTTTAGAGAGTAAGTTGAAATCTGTTGGTGAGCAGGCCAAGGAGAAGATAGAAGTACTTCATGGAAGGATCACTGAGCTAAGAGAGAAGGAGAAGAAGGATCTTGAGGTTGCTTTGGAGGTGGAGAAGAAGCTGGGAATGTTTGAAAAGGTGGAAAATGAGGTGATTGAGCTTCGGAAGGAGAATTCAAGGTTAGCACAGGAGAAATTAGCAATTATGAAAAAGATAGAGTCTGAACACTTACTCAATCCTTCAGTGATCAGAAGCCCAGATTCTGTGCTTAAGAGTTCAGAGGTAATATTTGAATCTCTATGTTGTAAATCTGAATAACTTTTAAAGTGTGCATTGATTTATGATCTTATCCAAACTGAGTTACTAAATGATTAGAAAATCAAAATTGCCTACAATTGAAACAAATAAATCAAGCTAGTGAAATCTTGGTTATGATCTTATTTACAAAAATAAAATCAGTAAATTACCAACTAATCAATCATTTAATTGGATACATTCTTTCATTGAAATTTGCGCAATAGAATGACTAATATGCTTCTTGCTTTCAACCAAACTTATTCTCACAAGTGTTTGTAGAAATCACAATATTCACTTGTACGATCTTATCAAAACAGCAAGCTATCATGAACCAAGATATTTATGTCAAGTATCTACACCATCTTGAAAACTTATAAACAAGATATATGATATGATATAAAATAAGCCACCAAAAGAAAGTATGAACAAGTGAGATTTAT